AATGAATGGCAAATGTGTCATAGTATTGATAAGCCAGTGGATTCAAAGCAGTAGTAAAACAGATAATTTCTTTCTGAAAGATGGGAATACCATTTGACAAAGACTGTTTTAAAAGCTAGGTGAAAGCTGTGAGTTCATTTTAGTTCAATGGATGTTTTTTGAGCTGACCACAGACAAGTGATAGGAGGTTGGGAGTGGGGGCCTTAGGGAAAGTTGCTGATCCATCTTCTGCTGAATAAGTTCTTCCCCAGCTAAGGAACAGTAATTCCTCTATTCTTTCAAAATATGAAGATTAGCTCTTAAATTTTAGGGCCCAAAAGAATAAATGGCCAAGCACTCAGTGACCATTTTATAGTAATCCACTTACCAATTTATGGCTGTAGTACAACCTTTTTTTGGTAACTTTATTTTTTATTTTTAAAAAGCTGTTTTTGTAGTTAAGTTGGTTGATGTGTATTGAATGTACTTTTGTTATCTTAAACATCAAGTCCAAGATCATGGACTTGCCTTATATAGTTTGCCTCTCTCCATAATTTGGCACAAGAATGCTTTTTAGTGCTGAGTGTTTTCTTTCTCTGCTGGTCTCTTCTCACAGCAGTACTGGCCTTTCACCTGGTTTTGTGTCTTATTTTAGAAATGGCCTTGTTGTCAGATCTTATTTTAAATGTTGGTTAGTCCAAGCCTTGCTGCAAATGTCTTTCATGTCTGTGGAAGACAGAAAAGAAGAAGAAGTCAGCATAAATTAAAATACGAATGATTTCACATGGACCTAGAAACAAAATTGTTGTAAAAGACACTAGAGATTAATGCCAAGCTACTCCTATCTCCCACTCATGTAAGAATTTGAGACCAGAAAGGCTAAATGACTTGCTAAAGGTTAGGAAATATTGATGAAAATTTATCATTCTTCTTACATGAAGGCAACATATCCTAGTAAGCTATAACTTTAACACATAAAACAAATAAACTATTCGTAAGGTAGATAAATATATCAATATAATAAATACAATACAATAAATATATCAAACTACTCACCCTGATTATCTCTGAGAAGAGTATGGGGGGAGGTGCATTATAAAGTTTTCTTTGTAATTCTCTGGGTCTGTCAGTGTTCAGTTATGAGCATCATTATTTTCATATCGTGATAAAGGCCGTGACCACTAGGATCAGATCTGGATTTGAATCTGGCCTGTACCACTTAAGAGGCTGCGACTCTGTGACTTAAGGGAAAGCTTCTTAACCTCTCTGAAGTTCCATTTCTTAGCTTGAAAAAGAGAAGAAACAATACATACTTTATTGAGTTAACTATAAAGGAATTAACTGTAAGGTTCTTACAGCTAGTGCGTGGCCTGCAAGGAGTACTTCTAACGGCAGCTGCTATCGCTGGTACTACTGCTGCTGTCCCTACTTTTATAAGTGAACACTGGGCACTGGCATAAGATGTTCATTATGGAATGATTAAATGTTCCTCTGCTTAAAGACTAGATGCTGAATTAGGCAGTTTTGTACCATAGCTTCCAGATCATTTTAAATTTCTGTTAATTCAGAGGAAGCACATGGCCATCAGTTTTTACTTACCCTATTAGAATAATACTTAACTCTTGGGTACCTCAATCAGAGCCTGATCCATATTATAATTAAAATAAGAATCCCTGACATTCTTCATTATTTTATACTAGAGCGGCTTACCCTACATTGCTAGGGAAATTTATTAACCATCGTTAAACTAAAAATCCCTATTGCTACTCATCTTTGGGCACCCTACATAGAATTGCCGTGTGAGAAGCAGATGTCCTTTTGACTGGAACTTGTAGTTCTTCTTATAAACTATTTTCTCTGTAACTAGTATCTTCATACAGATTATATGTGTCTTTTGAAAAACAGTCTCATTGGCTTTCCTTGTATTTCAGGAAGATCACTGATGACATCTCAGAAAGAAATGTCATTTCATTTATGTAGATATACTACTGACAACCTACCTAGAGATTGTGTAGTCACAGATTGGAAACCCAGGGCCTTATAATTTTTTAGGTTATTATTTGGAACAGGCCTAGATTGTTTGACACCTTTTAGGTACTGAGTAACAGCCACGGTAAAATATATCTGGGTATTTTTCTGTACATTATTTGTAATGTTACTGTTTGTGAGCATGCTGTACTTTTCCACTTTACAACTGAGGAAGCCTGTCATCATCATTAGTACTCATTCATTCAGCATGAGCACCTGTTTTATCTTAGGCACTGGAGATGTAAATATGAATAAAACATGATTCCTGCTCTGGAAAATTTCGTAGTTTATTGGGAGAGAAAGACACATATATAATTGCATTTCAAAGTGATATATTCTGTATAATACATGAACAAAATGTCATAGTCCTATAAAGGAGGGAACAGTAAATTTGGGGATGTATGGTAAGGTTACAAAGAGAAAGTGGCATTTGAGCCAAGTCTTAAAGGATATTTGGGAATTTGCTCTCTGGAGAGAGAGGAGCCAGTGATGGTCATTAGAGGCAGGGAACAGCCTAGCAAAGGCCTAAAGACTTGCCTGAGCATGCTGTGTGAGGGGAGTATCTTCAGCATAACCAGAGAAAAGGCTTTGAGAAAGAAAGTGAGTCAAAGTTAGGAGTTTGAATTGTACCATTTAAACAGTAGGGAATCATTGAAGATTTTTTAAATTATGGCTGGTATAATCAATCACACATGAGTTTGAGAAGTCATAGTAGCTTGGGGCTGGAGGAAGAAAGACAAGTGGCAGTCACCAGTTAAAAAGTTGTTGTAGTTTGGGGCGCCTGGGTGGCTCAGTCGGTTAGGCATCCAACTCTTGGTTTCGGCTCAGGTCATGATCTCACAGTTGGTGATTTAGAGCCCTGAGTCAAGGTCTGTGCTGACAGTGCACATCCTGCTTGGGATTCTCTCTCTCCTGCTCTCTCTGCCCCTCCCCTGCTTGCACTCTCTCTAAATAAATTAATTAATTTTAAAAAGTTGTAGTTCTCCAGGCAATACATGAGAGTTTACACTAGCAGTATCTTTGAAGATTAAAAAAAAAAAAAAAAAAAAACGGGGGCAGGGGCACCTGGGCGGCTCAGTCAGTTAAGCATCCAACTCTTTTTTTTTTTTTTCAACATTTATTTATTTTTGGGACAGAGAGAGACAGAGCATGAACGGGGGAGGGGCAGAGAGAAAGGGAGACACAGAATCGGAAACAGGCTCCAGGCTCTGAGCCATCAGCCCAGAGCCTGACGCGGGGCTCGAACTCACGGACCGCGAGATCGTGACCTGGCTGAAGTCGGACGCTTAACCGACTGCGCCACCCAGGCGCCCCGTTAAGCATCCAACTCTTGATTTCAGCTCAGGTCATGATGCCGGGGTCATGTGTTTGAGCCCCTGTCAGGCTCCACGCTGAGCAATGGGCATGCTTGGGATTCTCTCTCTCCCCCTCTGCTCCCTCCCCAACATGCACTCTCTCTCTCTCAAATAAAAAATAAAAAATAAAATAAAATAAAATAAAATAAATAATAAAGGGAGGGGCAGGGCAGGGAGTCTGGATTTGCGAGAGTTTTCCTAGGTGTAAACAATATGATATGGGAAATGTGGGCAGTGGGAGAGCTGGTTTGGGTGATGAGGTGGAGTAACTGAGATTAATAGAATTGTGGAAAGTGAAAAAGGAGAGGAAGGATTGTTCTTTGTTTTTTGTTTACTCTGGGAGCAGGGCAAGGATTTTCATTTTGCACAAGGTAGGGTCAGTGTTTTCAGGAACATTCTAGTAGGCACGTCTGGATCTGAAGTTCAACAGAGGGGTTACCATAGTAATATTTTTGAGTTCTTATTGTTTATTTTTCCATTAAAAACTAAGGTTCTTGGAGGTTAACTGATTATGGTTTCAGGAAGGTGACTAGAACCAAAACATAAATTCCTAAGCTTCTTACCAACTAGGCCTCAACTAAAATAGCCTTTTGAAAGAAAAAATAAATATCTTGATTTCCATTATAATTGTCTTACTGTTTTATTTCCTAGACTATCTTAAAAAAAAAAAAAGCCCAATGGGTGGGTGTGTGTGTGTGTGTGTGTGTGTGTGTGTGTCCATAATCTATTTTCTGCACTATTTTCTGATCTTAGTGTTGTTTGACTAATGCCAGTCAAATGATGAATACTCACGATAATAGCTGAGGAGCCCCAAGTCTCTTGTTTTGTCCTAGCAAAATCTTAAAATTCAAAGATTAGATAGTCCTCAGGAAATACTCAGTATTTCATATATGTTTGATTTAACCCCAGTTGTTGGCCTGATTCCACATGAGGGAGACTCTAAGTGTTAAAGAATGAAAGTGTAGTGTCCAGTTTTCTGCAGGAATTGAAAAGTAAGATTTTCCCCCACTATTTGAATTGTTGCGCTATGAGCTATTCTCTTGAATACCAGAGAATAAAGTAGACAGTTCTTCAAAATCCGTCCTCACCCCCAAGTTTCAGGGGTCATTCAGCGATCATTGAAACACTTGGGTGGTTGTGAAGGACCTGAGGAGGATTTGAGCAAGACAGATCACCATACATATGAGATACTCTTTTTTCACTTAAAAAAAAAAAATGAGCATACTTTATCCATGTGAAATTCTTGTTTTAACTGTGACTATATAGAATCTCTGTGAAGCTTGTTGGGCTGTGGTATTTTTCCTTTACTTTGTTCTTGATTGCTGCGAAGTGTAGTTGCCTGCTGTTTAAGGCAGCTGCAGTTGAGTGCGCCCAGAAGTGGTTGATTCTATATTTAGTAAGCCATAGGGTTTGTAAAGCATTTGCAAATTCCTTCGGGATAAAATGGTTTCTATAAATGTAACATTTTTAATGAAACTATTATTATCACCCATTAGAGAAATACAGCAGCTAATATGGGTGGATTTGTGACAAGACAGAGGCACAAAACCTTTTATACTTAAGAGTACACTGAGTGTTTTAAATACTTAAAACTAATAATGTGAATCCTGTTTTTATACTTTTAATCTTGAATTGCAGAGCTTTTACTCAAGTGTTTACCTTTGGTCCAACATTCCGAGCAGAGAATTCTCAGAGCCGGAGACATCTGGCAGAGTTTTATATGGTAGAAGCAGAGATTTCTTTTGTTGAGAGTCTTCAAGATCTCATGCAGGTAGGTATGCAAGTTTTAAAACAATTTCTGAATAACAGATATCTGTGAGATTGAAATGCTTCTGTGTACATCTGTGCATTATAGGTGTTCATGGAGTGAAGAAGATGGAGAACTAAATTTGATAAACATTAAGTGCCTTTAAAGTACAAGAGTCAGACAGATTTAAGCTCATATCCCAGCTCTGCCATTACTTTTGTTTTGATGTTATCTAACCTTGATGATCTTTAGCTTTCTCAACTATAAAATGAGAATAATAGTAACTATTTCATAAGGTTATGGGGTGGAGTAAATGCAATAATGTTTGTATAATGTAAAGCACCTAGTATTGGGCCTGGCATATGGCAGGCTCAGTAAATACTAGCTCTTGTTATTTGTTAGGCAAATAAATAAAACATCCTTATAGTTAGAGAAATGTCTCCATAGCTATATTGGAAAGCATGTACAGGAGCCAGCAGAGCTCTGTTTGGGAAGAAGAGGGACAAGAGGTACGGCCAGAGAGATAGTTAAGAGTCAGATCATGAAAGGAAGACTTTGTAAATGCCATACTAACTAGTTTGGACTTAAAGGAGAAAGAGTTCTCAGTTGGGAAAAGCCATTGTCTATTAGTTTAGAAACATCTCTTACGTAACAATTTAATTATTTAGAGGGAGATAAAAATGGGGGTGGGAGCTTTTTTAGGAGGCTGTGGCCATAATCCAGATAGAGCACATAAGCTCTGAATTTGGATGGACCAGGAATGTTTAGCTCCACCACTTACTTGCTATGTGACCTTAGACAAAGGAGTTAATTCTCTGAGCCTCAGTTTCCTCATCTGTAAAATGAGAGTAATAGTTCCTACTTTATGCGGTAGTTCAGAGGATTACACAGATAATATATATAAGGCACATAGCATAATAATAGGTCATGGCACTTTGTACCCAGAAATGATTGTTGTTATTATGAATTGTCTCTCCAGTACCACTAATATATTAGTTTGGATTTGTAAATTCAGAATGTTTCAACTTTCATCAACTCTCACTTCTATTCATTTTGTATCTTTCTACTCTTACCCAGTAAATGGCCCAATTCTACTTAAAACATAAATACCACATATATCATCAAATAGAACGGACTTACTATTTTATTATCCGGTCCTGGTTGGATTTCCTAGTAAACAAACTATAGAGCAGATTTGGGGGTTGGGATTATTGGGGAATGCTCTGGAGAACAATATCTGTAAGGAAAGGAAGAAAGCTGTATTGGGCAGAGGGAAAAGTTGAACTACAATGCATTTACAGAGGCCTTAGCTAATTCTTTGAGGAACTTTGGAGCTGGAATGTTCATAGTTGTCCCATAGGAAGACAAGGGGGTGGTGGGCCTTTGTTCTTTCCCTGTCAAACAGTTACCTGACATGGATTAGTCTTGGAAGAGACATACTCTTGTGTAAGACAGCACTCTTGGCCTGGCCAGTTCCTGAAGAGGAATCCAACCATGAGACATCAGCAGTTAATATTCCAAGTGGAGAAAAAACTCTTGGTCCTAAAGGGGTGTTTTGACCATATCCTACAGTATCCACTTACCCCTTTAACATTTCCCACTGATTGTTCTCGGATCAGTGTTCCCCAGGGGACGTTTTTGGTTGTCTCTCCTAGGAAGTGGATGGAAGAGACGGGTGAGTGGTTGCTACTGGCATCTGGTGGGTAAAGGCTAGGGATGCTGTTCAGCATGCTAAAATGCACGGGTCCCTCCCCCTCAACAAACAATTATCTGGCCAAAAATGGCAACAGTAATGCTGTCAAGTAGCTCTTTTCTAAGTTGTGGGGATTCAGGATCTGAGACTCACGAGGAGGCTTAAAATTCCTTAAGCAGCTTTCAGTCTGAGCATACCACCCTATTCTGTATTACTCTTTGATTTAGACAGTGAGAGTATTGTAAGCAGTGGGACCACACCCTTTACTCCCTGTTTTTGCCTTGACTCTCTCTGTCTCTCCTGCCCAAACATAGATATCAGAGAAAAGTTCCAAAGACAAAAGTTAGATTAGAATGTATTAAACATGATAATCTTTGCTCTATAATTGTATATTCTGTAACTAAATAATTCTTATTTGGTATTTCACTGAGTGGTACTCAGCACACACTGTTGAATGATTTTTAATTAATTGAAATGCAAGCTTTTCCTTAAAGACAGAAGAAAGATGTGCGTCCCTGAAAATTAATCTTCTGCTTCTCTTAATTTTCTCCCTTTTATAAATTACATTCTGTGGAAATTATTATCTTGATGAAAATATGAAATCAGAGTAACAAAGGATTTTCCCCTCAAGAGGTATAAACAAATAAATATTACTATTTTTGACCCATTGAGTAATATATTTTTAAAAACATCTGAAGGTTATGCTAACCGTTCAGTTAAGTTTCTGTTTTCTTCAAATATATTTATAGAGCATAGTCTGAAAGTCAAGGTTAGAGAAGGCAATGATTTTCTTCTTCAAATGGAAATTTACTGCTCATGTGAAACACACCAGTTTAACAACCCCAGTGGTCAAAGTCTTCATCTTACAGATAGGTGTATTGTACCCCTCACTAGTACAGGCTTGGTATCCAATCAGCATGTTTTTGTGTGTTCCCCATATGTGCCAGCTTTTGTTAGTGATTGAGGTATATGACCCTTCATAAATAATTCAGTTACTTTGTGATTTCTTTATCTCACTGTTAGATTGAAGGTAATATAGGCTCAAGGGAAAAGATCTTTAGCTTCCTTTTGTTCTTCTTTCATCAGGTTTTTCCTTACTCTTCTACAAAAAAAAATATATATATATATATGTATATATATGTGTGTATATATATATATATATGTGCGCGTGCACACACACACACTATACAAAAAATAAATGTATCTGGTTGTCCGTTGGTAATTAAGTATGTTCCTGTATCTGGTCATATTAAGTTAATTCAGTAGATGCTTGTGCCCCACCCTGTGGGTGCCATGATAGGGTGTACCAGAAATGCAAGAGAGGAAGGGAAGATACCTGACTTTGAGTCAGCCTGTACTTTTTTTTTTTTTAATTTTTTTTTCAACGTTTATTTATTTTGGGGACAGAGAGAGACAGAGCATGAACGGGGGAGGAGCAGAGAGAGAGGGAGACACAGAATCGGAAACAGGCTCCAGGCTCTGAGCCATCAGCCCAGAGCCCGATGCGGGGCTCGAACTCACGGACCGCGAGATCGTGACCTGGCCGAAGTCGGACGCCCAACCGACTGCGCCACCCAGGCGCCCCGAGGCAGCCTGTACTTAATGAATGTCTGTATCTTTCTGAATACAACATTTAGAGGGCCTAATAGCTCCCTGACTTCAGACCAAAAATTTTAGTTTTGATTAGAAATATCTTCCATTCCACTTTTTTTCTTCTAACAAGAGTTTCTTCTGTGAGATGTCTGTGGATACTCCTAGTAGAATGAATTCTTACATACTGATTTGTGTTGTATCATGATTTGTGTTCTTTTTACTGTATGCTTTAGCAAAGCAAAAATCTACGTAGATTTATCTCTCTATATATAAAATCTATATAGGTGTATCTCATTGCTCCTCTAATTTTAAAGTCAACTTTCATTTACCAGTGACTGAATGAAGCACTTCTCAAAGTGTCTTACTGTTCACAACAACTAATGTTTGTTGTATGCTTCTCTGAACCAGGTACTAAAGCTAAGTCTTACACATGGATTATCTCATTTAATTATCGTAACAATCCTGTGAGCTAGGTACCATCATTGTCCTGATTCTACAGTGAGTATACTGCAGTTTAGAGAGATGTCAGTTTTGGCTGTTCGTTTAACATCCCGCTTCAATAGTAAGTATTGAAACTATGAACAGAAGAGTCATACAGTTTTCTTTCTTTTTTTTTTTTTTTTTTTTTTTTTTTCCCCACTCTGGGAAGAAGTTGCACTGCCTCCCCAAAGCAATCTGGAAAACTGAACTAACTTGGTATAGTCCATTCAGGGATTAAGAAGCCTAATGGATTGATAGCCGCTAAAACCTGGAGATCAGTCCGCACCCTAAACAGGTTTTCATATAAAGTAGCCTACTTGTCAGGCAATTCCATGTCATTTCTCTTAGGTTATGGAGGGGCTCTTCAAGACTGCAACAATGATGGTTCTTTCAAACTGTACTGAAGATGTTGAACTCTGTCACAAATTCATAGCTCCTGGTCAAAAGGTAATTAGTTTTGTGGATAAAATCCAATCCATCTACTCTTTAAGTATATTAATTACATATAATAAATATAATTGCATTTAATAATTTTTTTCTCTTTTCTTACCAAGGACAGATTAGAACATATGCTAAAAAACAACTTTTTAATGTAAGTAATTATACTTTCTCTGAACTTTGTTTACACTTTATCACAGTATATATTGCACTCCATTAAATTTTTATATATATATATATATATATCTCCTTATCACAAGGAAGGCCCAGGTTTTAAATGTTTTTATACCTCTTATGTCTGGTTCCTAGGTGATAATGTTTCATGAATAAATAAATGAATAAATCATAGCAAGATAAATGAACAGAGTAATTATTAATTGTATTAATGCAATTCAAACTAATACTGACTTTAGTGATCAAAATTTGGCTCAATTAAAAAGCTTTTATTTTAATTCCCATATAATTAACATAGGGTATTATATCAGGTTCAGGTGATACAATGTGATTCAACAATTATATACGTTATTCATTGCTTATCATGATAAGTGTATTTTTAATCCCCATCACCTCCCCACCTCCCCTCTGGTAGCCATCTGTTTGTTCTCTATAGTTAAGAGTCTGGGGGGTTTTTTGGTTCGTCTGTTTTTTTCTTTGTTTGTTTTGTTTCTTAAGTCCTACATGTAAGTGAAATCATATGGCATTTGTCTTTCTCTGACTGACTTAATTCTCTTAGCATTATACTCTCCAGATTCATCCATGTTGTTGTGAATGGCAAGATTTTGTTCCTTTTTTTATGGCTGGGTAATATTCCATCGTGTACATATTGATACCACATCTTCTTTATCCATTCATCTATCAGTGGACACGCTTCCATAATTTGGCTGTTGTAAATAGTGGTGCAATAAACATAAGCATGCATACATTTTTTTTCAAATGAGTGTTTTTTAATTTTTTGGGTAAATACCCAGTGTGGAATTACTGGATCATATGGTAGTTCTGTTTTTAATTTTTTGAGCAACCTCCATACTGTTTTCCACAGTGGCTACACCAGTTGCATTCCCACCAGTAGTGCACGAGTGTTCCTTTTTCTCCACATCTTTGCCAGCACTTGTTTCATGTTTTGTTGATTTTAGCCTTTCTGACTGGTGTGAGGTGATACCTCATTGTGGCTTTAATTTACATTTCTCTGATGATGAGTGATGTTGAACATCTTTTCATGTATCTGTTGGCCATCTGTCTATATCTTCTTGGAGAAATGTCTGCGTCTTCTGCCCGTTTTTTAATTGGACTATTTGTTTTTTGGGTGTTGAGTTATATCAGTTTTTTATATATTATTAATACTAACCCTTTATTGGCTATGTCATTTGCAGATGTCTTCTTCTGTTCAATAGGTTATCCTTTAATTTTGTCGATTGTTTCCTTTGCTGTGCCAAAGCTTTTTATTTTAGTGTAGTCCCCGTAGTTTATTTTGGCCTTTGTTTCCCTTGCCCCAGGAGACATATCTAAAAAAGTGTTGCTGGGGCGCCTGGGTGGCACAGTCGGTTAAGCGTCCGACTTCAGCCAGGTCACGATCTTGCGGTCCGTGAGTTCGAGCCCCGCGTCGGGCTCTGGGTTGATGGCTCAGAGCCTGGAGCCTGTTTCCGATTCTGTGTCTCCCTCTCTCTTTGCCTCTCGCCTGTTCATGCTCTGTCTCTCTCTGTCCCAAAAATAAATAAACGTTGAAAAAAAAAATTTTTTTTTAAAAGTGTTGCTGTGGTTGAGGTCAGAGAAATTGCTGCCTGTGCTCTCCTCTAGGAGTTTATAGTTTCAGGTCTCACATTTAGGTTCTTAATCTATTTTGAGTTTATTTTTGTGTATGGTGTAAGAATGTGGTCCAGTTTTATTCTTTTGCATGTAGGTGTCCACTTTTCCCAACACCATTTGTTGAAGAGACTGCCTTTTTCCCATTGGATATTCTTGCCTCCTTGCCAAAGATTATTTGACCATGCAATTGTATGTTTATTTCTGGGCTCTTTATCTGTTCCATTGATCTGTGTGTCTCTTTTTGTGCCAGTACTATACATTTTGATTACTGCAGCTTTGTAGTACCTCTTGAAATCTAGGATTGTGATACCTCCGGTTTTGTTCATCTTTTTCAAGATGTTTTTGGCTATTTGGGGTCTTTTGTGGTTCTATACAAGTTTTAGAATTGTTTGTTCTAGTTCTGTAAAAAATGCTATTGGCATTTTGATAGGGATTGCATTAAAATTGTAGATTACTTTGGATAGTATGGACATTTTAACAGTATTTGTTTTTTCCAATCCATGAGCGTGGAATATCTTTCCATTTGTGTCATCTAAAAAACCAACTTATAAAATACATACATGTAATGTCTATCACTTTTGCTGTTTCAGTCTTTTTTTTTAATTTACCTTCAATTGCTCTAATATGATAATATATTCTAAACCTGGTTTTTTGGTGACTTTTTTAAATCTAAAGATCTGTGTTTTAAGTATAACACATACATTTTTCTTCATTTCCACTATCCTATACAAGTAGTACTTGATATCAGACTGTTAATTCCACTAACCGTACTAATCAGATAGGTTGTTCCATTTTACAGTTTATTATAAAACAAACACATACTTGATATGGAAAAAGAGCAATAGGCAATCTCTCCATAAATAATACAAATCATTTATATAAGTCTTAGTATTCGATGTATTTAGTGTGTATAGGAGTTAAGTTTGGTACTCAGAAGACTAGAAAAGTGTTTCTGAACGTAAGTTGGTATCATTCTTCACTTGCTATCATTAGCTTTAGGAAGTTTTTGTTCTAAGAGAATAAAGAATTCAGCCTGTCCTGGAGAATGGTAATAAGAAAAACTTGGCATACTTGACTGAGCTGAGAATTTCAGATATCAGTGTAGACCTTCAGGCTACAAGTTAAAAGTGATGAGTCGTTGAGCCTGAATAAATAGCAAAACAACAGATGTAAGATCAGAAAAAGAGGAAATAGGAGCCCTATGATAGAGAATCGAAAGGCAGTGGAGTACAACTGAAAGCTTTTGAGGTTTTTTTTTTCTTTCACTTAAGTGTATATGGAGTATGTTAACTAACTGGAATTTAAATGAAAACTTGAAAAAAGGAAAAAACAGTGTATATTGAATACTCACAATGTGCCAGGCTTGTTCTAAAATCTAAAGTGACTGTTTTAAAGCAGCAAACAAAGCAGATAAAATTCCCTTCCTTCATTGAGCTTACATTTCTGGGGAGGAAATAAGAAACAAGAAACAAATAAGTAAAACATACAGTCTGTGAGAATGAATAATACTAAGGGAGAAGAAACCCAGAGAAGAGAGAGAAGATAAGACAAAAAGAGTGAAGAGGTAGAAGTTTTGCTTAGTGTGACAGAGAAGATCTCACTGAGATGATTTTTGAGTAAAGAATTAAAGAAACTAAGAGAACTAGCTATATGGATATGTGGAAAAAGAATATTCTAGGCAGAGGGAATAGCAAGTACAAAGGCCCTGAGGTTGGGCCATACCTGGTTTGTTCAAGTAATAGGAGTGGATAAGGGAAAAGGATAATAGAAGACAAGGAAAGGTGGCAGGAGGTGGAAAATCATGTATAGCTTTTTAGGTCACTGTGAAGAGTTTGGGTTTTTGCTTGAGTAAGGTAAGGAAACCATTGAAAAGTTCTGTGCAGGACTGATAAGATCTGAATTGGATTTAACAGGATCACTCTGGCTACTGGGTGAGAACAGACCTCAGGGTGAGAGCCAGCACAAGAGTGAGAGCAGAAAACCAACCAGAAGATTATTAGAGTCATCTGGATGAGAGTACATGATGATTTAGACCAGGTATTAGATTTACACAGAGAAACAAAACCGACATGATGTGTATATGTAAATATTTATTTTTAAGGAATCATCTCCTACAGCGTGGATCCTTGAGGAGTTCAAAATTTGATGGAGTAGTTCAGCAGGCTAGAGTCTCAGCGAAGAGTTACAGCTGGGAGAATTCCCTCTTTCTTGGGAGAGACCAGGCTTTGTCCTGTTAAAGCCTTCAACGAATTGGATGTGGCCCACACTGTGCAGAGTACTCTGCTTTACTCAGAGTCCACTGAATTAAACGTTAATCTCACCCAAAAACACCTTCACAGAAACATCCTGAATAATGTTTGAGCAAATATCTGAGTACCATTGCCCAGCCAAGTTGACACATAAAATAACCATCACCGGCCAGGATGGCGGCAGTGGAGATAGTTTTTCTATTCTGGATATATTTTAAAGACAGAGCAAACAGGATGTGCTGAGAATATTCGGGAGAGAGAAGATAAGTCAAGAGTGACTTCAAACCTTTTGTCTTATACAGCTATAAAAATGGAGTTGCCGTTAACTGAGATTCGGAAAGTGGTATCCCCCTTGGGGTAAGTTGGGAGGAGGTATCAGGATCATCATCATGAGGTGTCATGTTAAGGCTGAGATTCTTTTCAGGTAGATGTTGGGTAGGCAGTTTCAGTGTACAGATCTGGAGCTTACAGAAGACTTCTGAACATTGCATATTGATAAAAGTAGTAAGTAAGCAGGTAGGAAAGAATTAATTTGGGCATCCGAAGGATCTGTGCTGGGGAGAGAAAACCAGAGAGAACGTCTTATCTAGTGAATAAGATCTAAGATGGGAAAAAAATATCCACCTTTTATTGACTATTTGCTATGTGCCAGGTAGTGGTACACTTTACATACACCAGTAGTTCGTCGTATCTTCACAACAGCTCTGTGAATAGTTGTTACTGCCATTCTGTAGATGAAGAATCAACTCAGATTAGGCAAATAAAACATGAAATGGGGATTCAAACTCACTCGTCTGATTTCAAAGCTCATGCTTTTAACCACTATGCTTCATGTTATTCAAAAGGGCACTGGAATTAATGCTAGAGTAGCTGTAGCTCCTTGCTGTCCTTATGACCGTCACATATCACTTAACTTGTGCTTTGGAGTCCAGGTCTGTAAAATACTGAGGTTGGGAAATGACCTCGTGGGCTATGTCCCATCAGTCATTGCCGGCATCATCATCCATTCCACGGCACAAATCGTGGTTGTGGTTTAAATGTATACTTGTGATGATTTGTTTAGTGTTTTCAACTCCATATGGTAGGGAGCTTGTTGGTTTTGTTTACTGTTACAACACCCCCCGTGCTTAGTACCGCTAACAGGAACTCAGTAAATATTTATTGAATAATGGAATGAATGAGTAAATGAAATTTGCACGACCATGGGATCGAGAGTATTCTTCTTTAGGCTAGGTCCTCTCCCTGAGGTTTCCTGTTAACATGTATCACTGTTTACTCTGGGCAGTGAATGCAATGAGCTATGGCTTAGAGGACCTGGATTCTAATTCTGGCGATACTTGTTATCAGCCATTAGTCAGTGGCTTAGTATTTTTCAACACATATTTGTTGGCTACCTGCTATGAGTTAGGCACTATGCTAGTCATTAACAATTCAGTAGTGAATACAGGCAAGGATTGTTCCTTTTATGGAATTTAAAATCTAGAGCAAAAGATGAATAGTTAACTATTTGAATGAATGATTATCTAATTACAACTATGAACTTGGTTAATAGTAAATCTTTAATCATTTTGAACCTCAGTTTCCTCTTCTATAAAGTAATAACTTGTCAGTGCACCTGGGTGGCTCAGTCACTTGAGCATCCAACTCTTGGTTTTCAGCTCAGGTCATGATCTCACAGTTCTCGGGTTCGAGCCCCACCTCAGGCTCCGTGTTAACCGTGCGGGGCCTGCTTGAGATTCTCTTTCTCCTTCTCTCTCTGCTCCTCCCCCACTTACACTCTCTTTCTCAAAATAAATAAACTTGAAAAAAAGTAATAACTTGTCTATCATACGGTTTAAAGGATCTAATGACCATACTGCTTAAACAGTGTGCCAGGCTAGATAACTTAAATAAAACTCCTACTACAAAACATCTAAAAATGCTTGTTAAAAATTATAAAAAAATTTTTAAATACATTATTGAAGTCACTGGAAAGTAGGAGGAAGTTCCAGGAGCTAGAAATGAAGAGGGAACTGAACACCAGAGGGGTATACATAAATGACATGACGTAGACTTTTCTCAAGGTGTGGAGTATATGCTAGATGGAGGGGGTGTTGCTAGCTTTTGAAACCAAAGATTTTAACAGCCATAAGAGGACATGAGAGTAGACCTAAGCATGATGAATTAGAATTGAGACACTCCCCAAAGTATACATACACATGCACACACACGCACACACAGAAGATACCATGTGACTTGTGTTCTTATGCATAAACAGATTTCATTGTATTCTTGGCTACTTGTTAGGATTGTTTTTTATGAAGATATATTATTTAAAGGTCTTGTGTAGTAATTGAATTTAGCCTTTACCAAGCAGAAATAGAATTCATTTATTTTATTCTTTATAGCATTAAGGTTTTTTTAAAAAATAGAGTACTTACCTTCTTTTGCTCTTCGTTTATCTGTGAATTTGAGTCAAAGAATGCGAATAATTTTCTCTTAGCAGTTTTACTCCAACAGCTTCAGAATAATTTTCTTCATTCAACAATAAAAAATTTAAATATCAAGGTAGTTTGATACTGCATCATGCAATATCAGCATCTGTTCCTCCTTCCTCAAAGTACTTTAGAAATAACTTCTGGGAAGAAGAACTATTATTCTCTGTACATACAAAAAAAAAAAATTTTACTAGAGAGAGAGTTGATAAAGGCCACTAAGGATATCCAGTGTCAGAACTGTAATTTGAACTCGAAAGCTGTGCTTCAACTTAGGGTGTAGGGAGAGTGGGGCAGAAGATCCAGAATAACAAGAGATATTTACACAGAGAGTCATTTTCTTAAAATAATGTAGCAGTAACATATCACTGGCACAAAATCCTGGTGCTTCCCACTTAGCTCTTATATTTGTCAGTATAAGGAGTAGATCATCTCAAGCAGTTGATGGAATAGAACAATAGAATGTCTAAGCAGGAAAGAATTATAGACAATGTAGTCCAATACCCTTATTTTACAAGTAGGAATATTTAATTTTTTTTTTTTTTACTGGTTGTATAAAACATTACAGAAATTTATAAAATGTTTTCCTTAAGGTAAAGTGATTTACATAGTACCCAATAAGTGGTAGAGTCAGGGAGAACTCAGAGCCCATTGTGTTGTTTTGATTGAGCATAATTAAACTCCCAAGTGTTCTAGGCATTATCTTAGTAGTTAAAAGCTTAGGCTCTGGAGTCAGCACATCAGGTTTACTATTTATTTGTGTGAGTGATTTTTGGCAACTTACTGTCCCCTCTAACCTTCTATTCCCCTTCTGTAAAATACTCATTTAAAAATTATTACTACCATCAACACCATCACCATTGTTACCTTAGAAATAACTTGTTATGTAATACTAGATTTTAATTTGAATAAATTTTTCATCTTGGAAAAATCACTCAAAACAGCTTTGGAAGCTTCATTTGTGCTATGTACATAACTCTTTCCAATTAGTTATCAGAGGTATGAACTTCATTTTTCCCTCAGTGAATAAGTTTGTGTTAAGTAAGTTAACTTTTTGAACTCAAAGTCCTTCAGAAAATTTGTAGATCTTGGGGTTTTGTTTGGTTTGTTTTGGGGTTTGGGTGGAGGTTTTTTTGATGTTTTATTGTAGATTTTTGTTTTTAATCATCCAAAGTACTGTTGCAAATGGCATAGGGAAACTGACATTTTTGTTTACTACTAATAGGCATAAATTGGTAGAACACTATAAAAGGGAAGCAGAATCTTTGGCAGTATCAAAATATATAAAAACTGTAAATGTAAATACACATTGATCCAACAATTGTATTTTTTCCATATTCAAAATTAATATGGAATTAATGTAGAATCATTTGTAATTGATGTATGTAGTCATGATTTCTAATAGTAAAAGATAGAAACAGCTGAAATATCCATCAGTAGGTTAGTAGTTAAACTAATTAGGGTACAGCCACAAAATGGAATATTATGTAATAATTCAAAAAAATGAAGAAACTCTTTATATACTGATATGGAAAGATCTGCATGGCATGTGATTGAGGAAAACAAGTGTATATGGGAGGTATACTGTGGCTGTCATCTGTTAAACAAGATTGTATATTAATATTTGCTAATAGGTGTATAAAACTCTGTGGAAGGATACACAAGAAACCAATAACAGTGTTTGTATGTCAGGAGTGGAGCCAGGTAGCTATGAGACAGGAGATGTACGCTTTTTTAAACATAGTGATTTTTTTTTTTTTTTTTTACTATGTTCATATATTACCTATTAAGTTAAATTAAAACAAATGCTTGGCTTGACTTTCTTTAGACATGAGAGTTTCTTACTGAGATAACTAATGGTATTTTTCCTAATCAGTCTTACAACCCTGAGCATGTATTACAAAGCCCTGACTATGGCCTGAAAGACTCCATAAGATCTGACCTCTGACTGTCTCTCCTATCTAATTTCCTGACATTCCTCCCCTTGTTCACTATGCTACAGGCACACTGACCTTTTTGTTCCTTGAATGAGCCAAACTGTTCCTTCAGTTCAGGCCTTTGTACTTACTGTTCCTTTTGCCTGGAATACTTCCCCTCAGATATTTGTATGGTTCATTTCCTTATGTCATGCAGGTCCCCAGCTCAGTGAGACTTTTCTTGGCCATCTTATTTAAAATAGCACCCCCAAGAGGTGCCTGGGTGGCTCAGTCAGTTAAGCGTCCAACTTTGGGTCAGGTCATGACCTCATGGTTCATGAGTTCAAGCCCCGCGTCGGGCCCTGTGCTGACAGCCCAGAGCCTGAAGCCTGCTTCCAATTCTGTGTCTCCCTCTCTCTGCCCCTTCCCTGCTCACACTCTGTGTGTGTGTCTCTCTCTCTCAAAAATAGATAACATTAAAAAAAAATTTGTTTAATAAAATAAAATAGCGTCCCCAAACATCCTTTGTCTTCTCACCTTGCTTTATTTTTCTTCACAGCTCCAATAGCACCCTGACATGATATTCTTTATGTTTATCTTTCTTCCCACCCACCATCCCCATCACACACCACACATCACACCACACACACACACACACACACACACACACACACACACGAATATCTGCTCCATAAAGGCTTTGTTTTTATTTACTATTTCTCCAGTGCCTAGAATAATGCCTAGCACATAGTAGATGCTCAATAAATGTATATTGTATGAATGAATGATGACTTTATGGAAAGACTTTTGCTCTTTCAACCTCAATATTTCATACCTTTTATTAGGGCATTGGCATAGCATGAATTCAGAGAAAATCTTTACTTGCTTAAGTGACTAGTTCCTCTGTGTACACTACAAGTAGATCAGGAATAGGATTATTGAATGGCTGTTTCTCTTCATACTGATCAGACTCTTGTACGATTAGATCAGCCTTAATTTCTGATTACTCAGTGATGATTTGTTTTTAATCATTCTTGACTACTCAATAACCACTTGGTACTCATTTGTGACCTCAAAGATTATATGGGAATAGGTCTTTTGTGGTTTTCAGATGGACTAACTAACAACATACCATTGCATTGACTTTTCTCTGCTTTTATCCTGTTCCTTTCCAGCATTTCTTATACTGAAGCAGTGGAGATCTTAAAGCAGGCATCTCAGAACTTCACCTTCACCCCAGAGGTAGTATTTTTATTTACATTTATATTAATACTTATATGTATCTTCCCCTGCTCTTGTCCTTATCATCTGTCATTAACAATGCTGACGTGTGGCTCAGTCAGTAGAGCATTCAACCCTTAATCTCAGGGTCGTGAGTTCAAACCCCATGTTGGGAGTAGAGCTTACTTAAAAAAAAAAAAAAAAAGAATCCTTTAAAATAATCTTATTTCTCTTATTAGCAGTGTTTAGTATTTGCTTATCTTTAGATTGGCCTTTTTTTGATGTTTGCTTAACCTTGTTGAAACAGTTAGAATAAATAATAATTTTGAAGTAGAATCCTATCCTTTATAATAGTCATGACTAAAGGGTTATAAAGAAGTTTCCCAAGTTTAGGAAGGTGAAAATCCTTTAAGAGAATGGTAACATATTCAGAGAGGTCACATAACTTATCAGTGGGCATGCCCATAATGTTAGAGGTGAGTCTCCTTGTTCCTATGTCAGAGCTTCTTCTCTATAATTAAGGTATTGGCAGACAGTAGGAATAATATAATGTTAAGAATTTCTATAATGACTCTATCTTCAAACTATTCCATATACTGTTCCTATCCCCAGTCCAGTCAGATCCTCTTATAATAGTTATGCTTGTTATATTTATAATCAGTTAATTTGTATAATTTTTTATTTAATATTTGTCTCCCACCCTGGAAGCTTCATGAAGTTGGGGATTCTGTTTTTCTCACCACTATGTTCAGTATCTAGCTAGCATGGTACCGGGATTTAATAGGCACATTAGTATTTGTTGAATGAATAGATAAACAATGTTATTAAATATTCATCAGAACATCTGATATATGAATTGACTCTTTTATTAAAAAAAATTCACTGAGAGAAGCCATCTAGCCAGAGATAGACTGAATATTAGGAATATTATCTTTCATCATTTAATTTCCTGTGATTTAGGAACAGTAACCATAGAAGAAGCTGTAGGCGATATTAATAAAAGCCATGATTTTGAAGTCCATTTTTACACACTGTGGGAAGTGTACTTTATTTTCTTGCAGATGCGATTCATCTGCTAAATGCCGCTCCCCAAGATGGGGGACAGAAAGCATAGTGTTTATCTACTGGTTTCAGTTTTCATCTCTCCAGGCCTTCGGATGTTCTCATAACACACCTCTCTGTTTCACTTATCTGTGTAACCTCAGCAGACAGCTCCACACATCACTGATACACAGAGGAAGCCCTTGGAACTGATACAGGTTATTTTCGGGTACTGCATTGTGTATTTCAGCTTTGTCTTCTCCTTTGATAACTTCTTTTTTCTCACTACAGTGGGGTGTTGATCTACATACTGAACATGAAAAGTACCTGGTGAAACACTGTGGCAACATACCAGTCTTCGTCATTAATTATCCATTAGCACTCAAGCCTTTCTACATGAGGGATAATGAAGATGGCCCTCAGCACACAGTAAGAAAGATCACTAAATAAATCAGGGTTGGTCATCTCAGAGTCTGGGCTTTTCCCTTGATTTAATTTCATTTATCTTTTGGCATATTTTACAAAATTATATCCATCACTTGACCTGTCTTAAAGTAATAAAATTTCTCAAAGCACCTCTAAAAAAAAGTGTTCCTACAGAAGATCTCAGTGTTCTATAAACATATTTCCTCCTCTCTGTCGCATTATGTCCTTCTTAGTTTAGCAGATGCAAATGTAAATGTGTTTTTTGTTTTCTTTTGTTTTTTTAAGTAATTGAGAGGAAGTGGCCCAGAGCAGTGAACAGTGGCAGGTCTACCGTCACGTAAAATACCGAGAAGGACTGAGGGGCGGAGGGATGCGGGTAAGAAAGGAAAGCAGTGGTATGATCAGGCGGAGGAAGAGCTTCCTTGGCAGAGCAGGAGGCTCAGAGTGCTTTGGTTTGGCTGTCATACAGAAATGGTGAGGCTGAATCTGGAGGGATCCGAGAGGGCCGGGCAGATTCTCCTGTCACTCCTCTTCTGACCGTCTCTTCTCTGTCTTTTCTCTGTCTCTTTCTCTGCTTTTGCCTCTCCTGTGCTCTGTCCTTTTTTCACCCTTAACTTTCATTGCTTTTTGATTCTTCTGGTTTACTTTTTCCTTTTTTTCTTTTTTTTTTTTGGTGTGTCTTTATCCCACTCTAACAAAATTAGCCGTAATATAAAATAAGAATATATTTTAATCTTTAAATACTTATTGAATAGTTAAATACTTAATATCATTAATGGTAAAAGTCTGTGAGACAAATAAATTATGTTTACCTCACAAAAGGTCTAAGACCTAAACTTTGCTATCTGGGGCTTTTCACTTGTCTCTAGATAAATACCAATAGAAAAATTATATCAGGGCCCACTAGTAAATAAAATGCCTTCATCTTAGGAATACAAGGTTCTCTATTTGAATGTATTACCTGTTTTCTCTATATATTATAGTATTAGTAAAATAGCATTAGCCATCGATTAATAGATTCCTATCAGGCGACACTACATCTCATCTCTAACTTGCCAAGAAACTTATTTCTCCCATTTTACAGATGAGAAGCTGGGGTTCAGGGACATCGATTGCACTTCCCATGCCTGCATAGGCAGCGAATGACAGAGTTGGTGATCAGATCTGACTCCCTCTGGCTCTGAAGTCTGTGTTCTTTCCTACTCTGTCATACTACCTCAAAGCCATAAATATAAAATTACATTGATTTTACGCATCCCACCTTTTCACACAACGTTATCCAAAACCAGTGAGCGCACAGTTGATTTATGATTCTTATTTTCTCTTCTCCCTACCAACCTTCTAGTATAATTGATTATGAGAGAGGAATTGGCCCACAGGTCAGCAGCAAAAAATAGGAGAGACTAGGACATAGATTACCCAGTCCTAAAAAATTCAGTATTGAGCCTACGTCACAAAACAGAACTGCGTCCATATGTGTTGGCTTTTTTATCACTCTATCCCATCCTGCTTCCACCTCGCCGCTCCCCCCACCCCCATACACACGCCATGTAGTGTTTGCATGTAACTTCCTGACATTCAGCACTTCTCAGACATTCAGTTGTGCACTTCTTAAATACTCCTTCTCTCTATTATAATAATAATGTGGCATGGTGACAGCTGGTGACTACACTTGTTGTGGTGAGCATTGAGTAATGTATTTCATTGTTGAGTCACTGTTGTCCACCTGAAACTTATACATTGTATGTCAACTATACTTCAGTGATTTAAAAATCAATTCAAAGTTTTTTAATTAATAACTTTGCCACTTTATAGACTTTCCTGGGTTACCCAGTCACCTTGAGCCTTCCTCTTCTGAATTTCTGTAGCATGTAAAGAATTAGTAAAACTGGTAACGTTGTGTCTATTTTTTGTACTCTCTGTATTGGTTTTCCTTTCTCAAATGAAACTCTTCTCAGGATGGGAATAAGTTTCTTATAGCCACCATGGCTTCTACTACTCATTCTTCATTCCCTCTAACTGTGACTTCCACACCTGTCGTACCACTGAAGCAGCTCTTTCTAGGGTCAGTAATAACTGTCACGTTATTAAATCCACAGACTTTAAAAGTCTTAATTTTTACTTTACCTCTCGGCATTACTCAGCATTAATGGCTTTCTTATTTTGAAATTTTTCTCCTCCCTTGGCTCCTGTGACATTGCATTCTCCCAGCTTTCCTCTGTTCTCAGTGGTTTATTCTTTCTCAGTCTCTTATATAGGTTTGTCCTCTTCCATCGATCCAGTGGATGATGGGATTCCTCAGGGCTCCATCATAGATCTTTTTTCTCCTCGGGTGATTTCATCTGTACTCACAGCTTAATATTTATTTTCAGACAACTCAGACAGTCCTGTCTCTAATCCATACTTCTGCTCTGTGCTCTTACTGCCATTTATATATCTCAGAGGCATCTCAGCAAATCTAAAACTTACCCACGATTTCTACTCTTCTCCCCTCCTCCCACCAAATTTGACCTTCTTTCAATGTTCCCTGCCATCTAAGCAAGCCATATACCAGCCTCGTCTTTGAAATCTTCCTCACTTCCCATATTCAAGCTGTTATGAAGTTGTCATTTTTATACTTTTAAATAAATCTCAAATCCATCCGCTTCTCCTCATTTCCACTTTTACCTTTTTAGATTAAGGTACCATCATCTCTTGCCTGGTTTATTTCAGAAGCTTCCTGACTGGTCCTCCTGTGTCCACTTTTTCCTCCTCTGAGTCATTTCTCCCCACTTCAGTGTAGGCTTTTAGAAAATGTGAATCTGGTTATGTTATCTCCCCTCTTAAAACCATTCAGTGGCCTCCCATTGCGTTTTGTACCAAAGTCAGAATCCTTTCTTTGGCCCCTAGGCCCAGTATCATCTGGCTGCTCCTGTCTCTCTTGCCTGATGTACTATGCTGCTCCCCTTTGCTATTTCTGCTACATTCACATCACCCTTCCATGTCTTCAGACATGTACTGCTTTCTCTCATCATGGTATCTTTGCACAGTGTTCCCTCAATCTAGAACAATTTTCTTTACCTAAGTAATTTTGCTATTTCTCCAAATCTCTATTCAGTCATCATTTCCCCAGAGAAACCTTCCATGACCCTCCAGACTGAGTCAGAGACCACTGTTAGACATTACAATGGTACCAGATTAAATTTCAGACCCAGAGCTACTAACTCTTCTTTTTTCTTTTTAATTTTTTTTTTTACATTTATTTTTGAGAGAGAGAGAGAGAGAGAGAGAGCACACAAGCAAGGGAGGGGCAGAGAGAGAAGGAGACACAGAATCTGAAGCAGGCTCCAGGCTCCGAGCTGTCTGTACAGAGCTGGATGCGGGGCTCAAACTCACAAACCGTGAGATTATGACCTGAGCCGAAGTCAGACACTCAACCGACTGAGCCACCGAGGCGCCCCAGAGCTACTAACTCTTAATTCATCATAATCCTTAACACAGTTGTAATTTTACATTTATTTTTATGACTGTTGAATTAACGACTCTTCTTTATGCCACAGGACTCGTGGACCTCCTTTTCACTCATCGTTGTATCCGTAGTACCTAGCATAATGCCTGGAGCGTCACAGGCACTTGATACCTATTTGGTGATACATTGGGTATTGGGCAGATGGATGAATTGACCCCGACACAGTTGTAGACACACAGTGGAGAAGTAGTGAGTGAGTGACTTCATTTGCTGAGGAAACTTCTGGGAAGCCAAAGAACAGCTTTTCTCTAAACCTCTAGAGTGACGGTGACATATTGTATAAAGGAAAGTCCAGTGGCTTTAGAATCACTCTTAGGTTCAAGTCCCAGGTCTGTGTGTTATAGGCCATGTGATCTTAAGTAAACCACCTAATTTCTTTGAATCTTAGTTTCCCCATCCATAAAAAATAAGATGATAATCTTATTCCAGCCTTGTGAAGATTAAATTAGATGATCTAAGAAAAATATCTAGCACAGTGTTTGGGGTGGCAGGTAGTCAGTAAGTGCAAAGCTCTCTTTCCTTCTAAATTTTGATACAATCTTTATTGTGATAAAGCACAGTAATGTTAAAATAATGTGTTTTGCAACATCAAACATGCTCTTACACAAGATTCTTTAAAAAGCCATTCTCTGATAGACTGCAGTCGCAAACATTTCTTCCCTTATGACAAGTCTCTCTAATAATGTGGTCTCACTAGGGGCGCCTGGGTGGCGCAGTCGGTTAAGCGTCCGACTTCAGCTAGGTCACGATCTCGCGGTCCGTGAGTTCGAGCCCCGCGTTAGGCTCTGGGCTGATGGCTCAGAGCCTGGAGCCTGCTTCCGATTCTGTGTCTCCCTCTCTCTCTGCCCCTCCCCCATTCATGCTCTGTCTCTCTCTGTCCCAAAAATAAATAAACGTTGAAAAAAAAAAAAAATGTGGTCTCACAGTTTGAAAACTGAAAGTATTATAATGGTATTTTAGTGTCCTCATATAATTTAGACAGTACTGTAATATATAGCTTCTCAGAGCTAAATTATTAAAGCATAATGTAGTTTATATATATATATATATATATATATATATTAGACATAGATTATAACGTTGATTTATTAACATCCTAGATTTCAACCCACTTGTATAGGGTACCTGCTTTCATCCCCTACTTTATTTTTTTCAATGGTGAATGAACAGGCTTTGGGCCAAATAACTAAGTTCTGTGTTTCTTTTAGTTGGGCTATAATAACAGGTTGTGGGCAGGGTTGCAAGAGTTTCTGCACTGGGTGCAATGCAATGTAAAAAATTCAGACAGACATGTTTCATAGGTGCCATCCCTGGGGAATCAAAAGAGAAGGGTAGAGAAACGTTTAACCTGCATCTGTAACATTTGACCAGAGGTCATAAATAGTACAATTGTGTATTTTTCCAGTTGTTGTTCCTTTTCCTTTCTTTTCACCCCTTCCCCACCCCCTCCAAAAAACGAAAAATGAAGATAGGCACTATTATAATGAAAAGTACA